CAACTCTCTTTCAAGTGATTATGTAATGTTGAACATTTCCATTGTGTGTGATCATTATTGTTCGGAATGAAGTGTTTATTATTATTATATATATATTATTATTATTGTGTGTATATATTGAGTGACTGATTTTTGTTTAAAAGTGAACTATCTGTGCAAGCATGGTAAAATTGTCTCTGTAGATATACTTAATAATAACTTTGGCCTGTAAGTAGCTGACGAGAAGCCAACGAAATAACCAAAGGATGGCATCATTTTATTCTGCAAAAACTGTTGTTCTTGTTTTATCCATTCACTTCAGCTTGAGAGTAACTGGATAGTATCGTTAACTCTTACACAATAAGTGTGTTACTCATAGCCTGAGGTATGGAAAACTTGAGTTACAACATGCAAACATTATAAAGATGTCTTCGAACAGTCTGATAAACTTCAGCAGTGTTGAAGAATTGCTAGTGAGCAGTTAGTAGTAATATGGAGATTGTAGTGCATAAAGTGATTTATTATTATTTTCAATAAATTTCCCACATTTCATTTTAAAATCCCCCCCGCACCCATCCAGTATTCCGTGTATGACTGTACAGGATGTCTGCAGTTTCATCGATTAGGCTCAAAGTGAGTGGTTCGCATTTTCAATTATCTGTGAGGTTTAGTAGATATTGGAAATTACGACTAGACGGATTCAGTCTCAGACTACTTTCTTTATCTGTTGTAGTAGCTTGACATATTCTTTTTTCGGAAGTCCTGATGTGTTTACATCACTTCGTTAGTGGATTCATTTTCATATCGATTTATTCTATGTATTAAACTACCGCCTAGTCTGGCAATAAACTTTATGAAGTATATTTGTCAATGCTTGGTAATGGTTATAGTTTATTTTAAATATTGCACAGTGATGTTGTCTGTATAAACAAGTGGTGTTCAGCTATATCTAACCCCCAATGAATTTAAGTTCAGCTTGAAAATCCCCATTGAGATATATAAAAAAGAGAGGAAGTTCAGAGAAGAGAGTCTTTTCGACGGCGAATTCGTTCACATGGCTATACAATCGCATTGATATATAATTATTTGTGTGTGTGTGTACATGAGGTTTGTCAAGTTTCGATAATTGATCAGGTAATACAAGAATGATCTAATTCAGAAACAAGGTTAATTAGACAGCAAATAAAGCAAGATGGAGTTTGTAAGTTAGATGACGTAATATAATTGACTAAAATGTTCCAACTTAGGTCAGGATAGAAATAGAGGTAATTACAGGTAGAGCAGACTGAGTAGAGGTGGGGTAGAAAATAATGCCATTTAAATTAGAACTGAAACTGACCAAATAAGTTGGATAACGTAACATAAATGACTAGAAATTGAGTGTTGGTCAAGTCAGTAACAGTGGTAATGAGATGTAGAAATTAAATCAGGTGGTTGTCGATATCAAGAAACTTGAAAATGTAAAATATTACAATTGAAAAGACAAAATAATACTAATGAAGAGACAGACAAAAAAAGAGATGAGGTAGAATTTACTTGCCAGGTAATAAGATAGATTACATCCATTGTAAGTGTAGTGATTGAAAGAACTTCTTCTGTATGCAGAGTCCAGGACTTTGCGAATGAATCGCCATTGCTTCTGCAGTTTGAACAAGTCTGATTCGTACGCATTTAGGAAGACTACTTCTAACTCTGTAGACGACTTTGAAGTTTTTTCGGGGTGTAGCTTGGTGTCCGGATTTTCTGAGATGTTCTAAGATGGATAAATAAACGAATGGGCTGGCAATGAGGTCACTAATATCCTTAATAGTAGTCAACATATTTATGGATATTTGGTAACATAAAGTGCTAAGAAAGTTTAATCCTGCTGCTCCTAGATTATGGTGGAGATATGTGGCGGATGACACATTCCGTCACTGTTTTGAAGTCTTACATATATATAAACTCAATATCAGACGGAATCCAATTCTCTTCTAAGTTAGGAAATGAACAGGGTGAATTGGTCATGCTAGACTGTAGAATAAAACGAAAACAAGATGTTGGGTAGTGAGATACTGCTATGTATAGGAGACCGACAGGCTGCAATAAATCCCTAGACTTTAATTCATCCCATCGAGAACCGGTGAAGATGGCTTCAGTTATATATGTGTATAATCACGCCAAGAGAATACTTAGTATGCCAGAAGTTTTAAATAATGAAATCAGATAAATAAAGGAAGTATTACCCGTGAATAACTTTCTGTCTGTCTGTCTGTTTCGACATAGAACTTCGCACAGATGGGCGGCACTTCAAGTCACCACACTTCCTTCTTGTAGCACGCAAAGCAAGAGAAGAAAGTAGAAGAAATGCTTAATAGAGACAGTAAACAGAGGTGAGACAAAGAAATAGTAATAACGAGGATCAATATAGTTTCGTTGGAAATCATAAACCACAAGGAGTGGATATATCTGCACCAGCCATCAGTGTGTACGATTTTGAGCCATATTACCAATTGTTTCCAGCCATTGGTTTTTACCTTCCCGAGGACCTTAACCAGTCAGGAAGTCTACACTTCCTGAAGTGGCTGGGTAGCTTAAACTAACTGTTGTGGATTTCACTGACTGGTGCTATGTTTTGGTTTGACCGCCGCTAGCTCTTTTCCAGCCTGACCCTATGTCAGCTAACATTGCCCGTCGAGGAAGGCGATGTCTAGGCATACGTAACACATGTCCTAACCATCTCAGTCGGTGTAATTTCACAGCCCCGTCTATTGATTTCCCCTCCTTACATAGCACTCCCCCAACCGATGCCTAACCTCATTATTGCTCACCCTGTTATGCCACTTAACACACACTGGAGACAGAACGCAGACACCTTTGATCAAAGACAGCTAGCTAGGCTTTTCATGTCTTCCACTCTCAATGGCCAGGACTCACAGTCATAAAGGAGGACGGAGCGGACTGCTGAGCAGTCGATAGCCAGCTGAATATCACGTCTGTGCCAGAGACGGCGTAAAATGGCATATGCGAAACGAGTCTTCCGTATCCGTGCAGAGATTTCGTCAGAGATCAACCTGTTGGTGTTGGGCCTGATGCAACCTCCCAAATATCACTTCACTTCCTATTTCAAAGCTATTAATCAGTGAAGTCTAGTCCTGTAGCATCATCTTACATTTGAAGGGAGCGAATCGCATGCCAAGCATTTGTAGATTACAGGTCAAGGTATCCAGAAGACTCTGCTGGATTTTGTTAGCGTCTTCACCTAGAAGGGGGGGGGGACTATTTCATCTACATATTCTAAGTCAACAAGATCATTCCCTAGTAGCAAGTCAATCCTTGAGTCTCTGAATAACTAACTGCTCCCCAGAGTTTATTGAGAAATATATGAAGAACTATAGAAAAACTAAGACTAGCAATAAAAAGTACGAAAATAATTAAGATTTCAAAGCCTCTGTAGTACTGCAGTACAAAGAAGGAACGTCAGAGGCCTTACTTCGAATTCTAAATGAGGCTAGAATTAGGATGGAATTTAAACCAACCAACCAACCAACTCTCTCGGAGGTAAATTTTGTCTACTTAGAGATCCAACAGATTCAATTAAGAGAAATAATATAATTTACCAAATATCATGCAATTAATGACTGTGAAAGGTCAATTACATAGGTCAAACTAATAGATCGGGGTCAACTAGACTATTAGGATATAAACATTTAGCTAGACGTAGATAAATGACTGACCCTGCTAAGCTTAGTAACCTAAAAAAAGGTCAGCCATTGCACTGCATTGCATTCACTTGCATGTAATCACATAACAGGTTGATTGGGACAGAGTGAGAGAGGTGAATCACTGAAGCTTTGTTCATCCATTGGACACCACACATGTACAGTCAACCGGAATGACACGACGTCTATACCGGAGATATGGAAATTGACTATAAGCGGCAAGGGGAAGTTGTAAAGAGAGAGAGAGAGAGATACAATGAGAGAAAATGTATATAAGACAGACTGTGAAACGGTGGGATTAAAATTGATATGATTATGAGTGGCAATAATTTATGCTGGAAATCTTGTCATCCAGTTGTTAATACTGCATCACCATCTCTGTGTGATACTTAAAATAAACTTACCTGATATGGGATTACATTCTACCACCACAGTGGCCAAGTTCTACACTAAAAGACATGGTTACAGGTTAGAAAAATGAAAAGATTACAGACCTGTTGTGTTTGATCTAATGTTCAGCCTTTTTCTAATTCGTCTAAAACTCCTTCTCCTTGTGTTTGTAGTTCTTGAAGCTCTAATATTTGGTTATGAATGCTTTACCACCAGACTTACTTATACAAATCTTTTTTTTCCGCATTAATTCAGATTTCCACATCTACCTTGTATACATCTCCAAGATGAGGGGAATTCACGGATGAAGTCCATTCAAAGGTGGCCGTATAGACAGATGTGTTTCAATAGACTAGAAATTTAAAGATAGTTAGGTTTCAGCGAGTTGATCACGAACTGATATCAGCTAGAGAACCATTGGAAAACTGCCAGGGAGTACTGGACAGCCAGTTGTTTCATCCAAGTTTAGAAACCATCGGCGGTACGCATCAACTGAGGTTCGAAACCAGCACCATTCAGCCCCTGGGACCCGATTCAATGGCCAGCCCATGAATTCTAACTTCTACCAATTCGTGATTTAACACGACCCCAACCAGTGGCTGAATGGTATACTGGCTTGCCTTGTAACCAGAAGGTCCTGGGTTCGAACTCCAATGGGTACGTACTGCCGATGATTCCCAAACTAGAATGAAACAGCTGGCTGTCCAGTACTCCAGTGCTGGTTTTCAATAGTTCTCTAGCTGATATCAATCCATGATCAACTCGTGAAAGCAAAACTAACCCTTATAAACCGAACTACAGAAAGTTAGGTTTCTTTTTCTTGAGGTGACTTTTTACTGTAAGAAATGTACCATATACTATTTTTCTCATATAAAATGTGTAAATAATTAAAATATTTTATGCATTTTTTCTTCTCTTTCCTCAAATCAGATTCCAAACTCCCGCCACAACCTCTTCAATCAAGTATAAATCCAGATATGACTAGTTTAGACCTGTCTATCTCTCCAAATCTACTGGGTACAGGTTGTACATTGTCTTCACCCGCTTCGCTGTCATCCTTATCTTCACCAGCGTCGTCAACTTCATCGTTATCGTCTTCACCATCATCCTCCTCCTCCTCCTCATCGTCGTCGTCGTCGTCAGCGGCTTCATCCCCTTCATCATCCAACTGTTTTCTTACCTATGATAAATTGTACTACAACAATATGAAATCCCGTGGTGCCTTTGCATTAAAACGTTCTCCATTCAAGTTATCCCAGTTTTTATATTATCTACTCAATAAGTCTGAATATAATCCACAATTGATTTGTTGGGTGGATAGATCACAAAATATGTTTAAATTAGTCAATAGTGCTGCAGTTGCCCACCTATGGGGTTTACATAAACACAAACCAAATATGAATTATGAAACAATGGGAAGAGCTCTTAGGTAAGCTGATTTTTTCCCAATTCTTTGAAAATGTTGTGCAATTTTTAAATCCCTGCATAGCTGAACAATTTTTTTATTCCCCTCGCCCGCCCTCCTAAGTGTTATATCATTACGACTTCCCCGAAGATTGATAAGAATTCATGGATCACTGATATTCAGTCAGATAGCTGATAGCTGAATGGTGAATGATCTGGCCTCCTTACCTGAAGATCTTACGTTCGATCTATATCAGAGTTATAGTTGAGCACTAATCAAGGGTCTCAGTCTACGATGAAATATCTTTCCTGTGCTCCTTGATTTCCAATGACTACCTAACTAACATTGTCTTCCTAGGCAACATTTTCAGTGCTAACTGCATACTACAATTAAACTGTCTAGCTCATAGAACGTAACAACACCTCCAGAGCTATCCATCATTTAAATCCTCTGCATTACTTAGAAACCTTCAGTTCTCCTAAAAATAATAATAATAATAATGTTGAGTCCCAGTGGCTGAATGGTATATGATGAGATTGCCTTGTAATCGGAATGGCCTGGGTTTGAACCCTGTCACTAGGTGCGTGCTGCCGACGAGTCCCAAACTAGGCTGACGAAACAGCTGTCCAGTACTCCGTGGTTCTCATTGGCTCCATAAATCATATCAGTGCATGGTCAAACTCGTTCAGTTTATCAGATCAAAACTATCTGACATCGATAATGTGATAAACTCTTCAAAGTATAGATTTTCAGCTCTGAGGCACAAGGTTTTCTCCTAAAATCCGACTATTAGTGGCTGGTAGAAGATAAAATAATCACAATAGGCTGACTTCCAACCTGCAGGCTAAATTTTATACATGAATGTCATACTCAAGCTGAAAAAAAGTTTGCAAAAATAACAAAATTTATAAAATTTTAGCCTGTTGAATGTGTCTTCTCTTGGCTCCAGCACAATGAGTACAAATCCGTTACCCAAGTGTAATCAAAGTCAGTTAGTCAGTCAGTCAGTCCATGTTTTGCCTTATAATAATGACAAATCATTTTGCAACTTTTTTGTTATACCATCATACTTTACGGATGTGTTTCCTCTGTCCACTGTCACTTCGTTTAATGTCTTTAACCGTAGAAGAGGGTTTATTAGATAGCAGTGATGCGTTAAAGCAGATAGTCGGGTGAGATGCAACGGTGTCAGTGATTACTTAAAATCAAACCAACAAACTTACTTCCTTACTTCCAATACGTTCTATATTGATTGATAATTGAGAAAATGGAATGCTCAGTCACCGTTAGATCACAAGTGGTAGAATCAGATGAAGGTGGTGCGAGCCAGACTATATGATCACTTTCAGTTATCACCCAATACCACTTTAGTAGTGTGTCAATAGAAGGTGATAAGTGACTGACCGAATTCCAGTGTAGAACACGGTACAGAAATGCAGCAGTTCAAGGTGTCATACTCCATTATAAGCATACAAAGGTAGAGAAAAGAGAGATACTAACATGAAAAATAAATGAGAATAGTTTTGAGCCATATAAGCAACAGTCACTAAATATTGTTTCTTAACATACTGTGGACCCTATTCAGGTATTTTTCTCATTCATACCTACGTAACACAAACTAACAGGCAAAGACTTTAGTTTGATCAGCACTAATACAAGGTTATCGAAGACCGTCTCATTGTTCAAAATTTATGCCTGATGTGGTGCTGTTTCAACCGAACCTGCGCTTTTTTCCGAAGATTTATGAAGTGCTTGTAGGAAGTCAAGTTTATTATTATTATTGCTCCCTTGTGTTCCTAGTATAACATAGGGCTACAACTGCACGTATCCATTAGCTTCTGTCTTGCTTCTGCTGTACTTTTCACCTGCATCATCCATGTCTTTCAACTCCTCTTCGCACGATCTCCTCCATGTCACTCTCGCACTGACGACCCACTCGCCACTTCATTTTCGGGTTCCACTCGAGTGATTGTCATGCAGCGGCCCCCTCAGTGAATGTCCAATCCATCTTTACTTTCTCCTGCTTATTTGTTGGTTGGCGATTGGTTCTTGTTTTGTTTGTTCCCATAGTTTCTTGTTGGTGGTGATTCTTTCCGGCCAGGCCATCTGATTGGTCTTCAGTATCGAGCGAAGACAGTTGTTGGTTGATGAAGGTCTGCAACAGACTGTTGGAAATATTCTTTGTGACCCGCCCGCCAAGTTTCTGATCCGTATAGAACAGCTGACTGACTTGACGTTGTTTGTATTGAAAATCCGACTGAATTTTGTTGTTGATGTTGAGTGAGGAAGATTGGTTTCCAGATTGGTTTCAGGTTGATGAGTGAATGTATTTCTCGCCTTCCTGGTTCTCGCTCGACTTGACATCCTCATCTGTTCCTCGTGTAGTAGAAAAAATGCTCCCTAGTGGATGAAGTGAATGAAGTAACCTCTTTCAAATCCCTCCCGTTGATGATTGACGCTGGATGTTGCTGCTTTTGTTGTTGTTGGTTGTTTGGTTATTTTCATAACCTCCGTCTTGTCTATGTTCACTTGGAGTCCTGTCTTCGCTGGTTGCTTCTTCGATCAGTTTGTCGGTTTTCGCTTACTTGTAAGTCTTCGATTTTATGACAGTGACATCAAACATAAATCATCGCTGCGCGAAGTCCAGGTCTTCTAGTTTCTTAAGGTCGGTTTAGGATACCCCTGTCTTCTCGTTTCCCACTCACAGTCTGACGCGTAATCCAATCCACCACTATTAAGAATATCATTGGTGACAATAAGCACTCTTGCCTGACTCCCGTGTTTACTCCATCCGCCTCGATGAGTTTAGAAGGTGTAATTTCTAATAAGTGTCATATTTCCATAAAGTTCACTAGGAGTTTACCTCACACAACCATTAAAGATGGAAGAAAGGATGATAAACTTCCAGCTAACACACGTTTAAATGAAAGCTAGAAAGCAAGTCAACTGTGAGGAAGACGAAATCAATACTGAATTGAAGACAAACGGTAGAAGTCGGAATTCTATCACAGCAGTTGCGTGATAAAGTGCTCACTAATGAACCTCAATATCCTATGTAGGAATTCGAAGTTACTTGTGTATTTCTACCACCTGAATTGTTGTCACATATTACCTTACTCTTTGAAAGAGTTTTTGTGTCAAAATTATTTGAGCGAAAATTTGAGCATTAGCCTTACCTGTTTTCTTCTTATTATTATTTTCTCTAGGTATTATTATGCACAGAATATTTTACGGAAGGTTAAAGGTCAACGTTTAGTCTATCAATTCTTAGAAGATTTTCATAAACCGCATTATTCACCGCCAATATCCATAATGCCAGCAACATTCACTCAGCATACAACAACAACGACAATGACAACAGCGACAAAAACCACACCCACGACAACACCAACAAATATGATGGAGGTAATAACACCGGAGACACAAATTTCACAATTTCCAAATATTTGTAAATTATCCGAAGACGATTTAGAATCCATTAAAATTGTTTAACAAAATAAAGAGAGAAAAACTTTTGGCTCCTTAATCCTTCAGCAGAAAAACACTGACAAATTTCCCTCAAGAAACTATATATACACACTTTTGACACAAATCTAGGCAACTTATTTGTTTATATATATATCTCTATGGTTACAATATTATTTGCTGCTAATAGGAAATACATTAATTTTTCACTATGGTAACAATAACATTTTTAAAACAAAGTGTATTCAATGTTCAAGAAGACTATACAAATACTATTTGTCTTTTTATTGTTCAGTGTTTTATTTATTTATTTTGTTTTATTTTATTCTCCTACATATGTGCATAATCATAATAAATAAAACATTAGCAAAAATTAAAAGAAAACTGTTGTGATTTCTGTGTTCAATGTTAAATATTTGCTGTCAGCGTCACTAATCCCTTGATCATTGAACAATCTAGGCGGTTATATGAATTCTAAGCAGTATCATTAGGGAAATCATATAAGCTAGTGAAAAACCATCATATACTGACGTCTTGATTTATCATTTTCTATTAGAGACCAAAAATCTTCAAGTCTGATAGAGCAGTTATATCAAAAGAAGATACTGCGTACTTATTTGACTTTTATGCAGTTTATATATATACATATATTTCTTGACCTAAAGGCGGCAGTCGATTCTTTCGACCGAGAGGTACTCTGGTGACGCTTGTTTGTAAAAGGAATGCTGAGTACATACATTGTACTGATCAAGGCACTCGATCTACTCGAACTCATGCAGTTAGCCAGGTGAGAGGTAACGGCAAGTTGTCATCTGAAGTGGTGAAAACTAGTTTACTCCGTCTCTGGTGTAGACGTGATATCCGGCTGGCTATCGACCAAGAGGCGGGTGAACTGCTCAGCGGTCCTCTCTGTCCTCCTTTATGTCTGTGGGCCCTGGCCATTGAGAGTAGAAGAGATGAGAAACTGGCTAGATGTCTTTGATCAAAGGTTTCTGCGTTCTATCTCCCATGTTCGTCAAGTGGTATAATAAGGTGAGCAATATTGAGGTTAGGCATCGGTCAAATGCTAGGTAAGGATTGGATATCAATCGAGGAGGCTGTGAAGCTACATCAGCTGTGATTATTAGGACAGGTGTTACGTATGCTCAGTCATTGCCTTCCTCGACTGACGAGCAATGTTAACTGACATAGTGTCAATTTGGAAAAGAGCTAGTACTGGTCAAACCAAAACATGTCCACGTCAGCCAATGAAATCCACAACAGTTAGTTTAAGCTAGCCAGCCACGTAGGAAGGTATAGATTGCTGAATGGTTTGGGTCATCGTGACGTTAAGAACAAGTGGTTAAAAACGATCAGTGATATGGCCCAAAATCGTTCTGAGTGTCTAGCGCAGATGCATCCACTCCCTGTTACTTGTAATATATAATAAAACTATATTGTTCTTCGATACTACTATTCCTTTGTCTCATATCTCTGTTTACTATCTCTATTTCTTCTACTTTCTTCTCTTGCTCTGTGTGCTACAAGAAGGGAATGTGGCGACTTGAACTGGTGCACATCGGTGCAAATCAGTTCTATGTTGAAAACAGACATATATATGGATAGATGGATAGATAGATGTAGAATGCTGGAGTACAGAACTCCTGACAAGTGAGTAAATTACAGGGCTCTCACATTGAAACGTAGCTTTCCTACTTTCAGTGTTATACAAAACTGTGGGTATTCAAATGTAAGATTCCTTCGTCAACACTCCATAGTTGAAACTACTTTATAGTTCTTGCACTGCTCTGAATCTTGTGTCAGATTAAGTTTGATACCTGAAATCTAAGTATTCTCTATTATCATATAGTATTCTAATTCAATTATAAAATCTAAATAGTGAAATGTCATCAACTATTAAAATAATACAGAAGATTTGTAGGTCAGGTGAATGATTTGTAATTAGTTGTGTTCTCAGAGCTGGTTGGTTTAATTGCGGAGCATTCGTCAACCTTCTGTACAGCATCTTCGGCGCAAGTTTTATCAAGAAGATGGTTACCAGGAGATGTAATTCTATCACTTCATGGAGAATTTAAATCAGTTCATTTTATGCTGAGACTTGCGCTGAATAGGTTGTCCAGAAGGACGACGAAAGCTCCTCAATTAAACCAATCAGCTCAGAAAAAAACAGCTAATTGCAAATCATGAACTATTGCTTGAAAGTGAAAAGGAAAGAAATGGTGTGTAGTTATGGCAACCGAAGACGGATATCAGTAGTTAACGAGCATTGAAGCTTAAGGAATGTTTGTATTGTTACAGGGCTGAAACAGTCATTAAAGCTGACATTTTTTAAAGGTTTCTGACACAACTAATTTCCCACCTGGTGTTGGCCTAAAGGAATTTTCGCCCCTGTTGCCGCCCTTAGATGTGGTAGCCATTTCTCAGGCTCCCTGATTCCTCGTTATTATCATGGTAGGCAAATCACCTACTAACAAATTGATAGGGCAGACATTTGAAAGATCCGCCGCCAACACAAGGCCGACTGCAATCATTAAAGTTATCCAGAGTCATCACAGAATTCAATAGAGACAGCCGAAACTGCTCCCGGTTGGTTCTCTTCTAATAAATGCACCCGTTCCCTTGCCGGTCAAGACATAATTGCATGTATTAGCTACAGAATTACTACAGTTATCCATGTAGTATATATGATCTAAGGAACCATAGCTGATTTGATCAGCCATTCGATGTTTCACCGTTTTAAGGTTTGTACTTAGATATGCATGGCTTAATCTCTGAGACAAGCATATGACTACTGGTAGGATCAACCAGTTTGTTCACACAGTGACACACCCAGTGACTTGGTATCGGTCTTAAAGAGAACCAAACACACCCATCCCTGCCCGTTGTGAGACGTGACCTGCATGCAGGATCATCCTGTTGCGCAACCACTTGAGAGCCCTCTTCCTCGGTGGAACATTCGCACCGTTAGTATACATAGCTATGCATAGGTAAGCATTGTTGCGCTGATCATTGATCGCGTTAATCAATTATGCACTGCACAGACAAGCCCAATAGAGCTCATCTCGCCAAACGTATTATTAAATGCAGAAGTAGCACACATAGCGACGCTGTAGTGACAACAGGCCCCTCCCTATAAACGAAGCCAGCAGTCACCAAATTCAATGAAATCGTTATCCCTGACAACCAATTTAACATGTAAATAGCTTCTATACGTCTGCCAAGACTATAGAAAACTATACACAGTCATATAAGAAAGCCATGAGATCAACTTAACCCACACTCATATCGTCTATATAGCTTACGCTGTGTTTACTATAGAATTTTAGGATTATAAGCAAGACAGACTAGCTGGGCGCTATTAGGCTTAAGCAAGCTCAAAACCCCATGGTCACAGAAACGGCGTTGGTCGTTCATTGGTAAGATACTTGTCAACCACACAGGTGGTTCAGCACACTCCTAAAGCTCACTCAGTTTATTAACAGACAGTAAGCCTGAAGAAGGAAGATAAGGCGTAAGGCCAGTCACGTCAGCGTGTGAGAACAACGTCATAGATTAAAGCCATGGATTCCACTAGGAACACAAGGAAGGAAAAAGACCTCAAACAAATTTTTTCCCAAATAGTTGCAAGTTTAAGTAAATCCAAGATTAAATTTATCCAGAGGTCAAATTATCTGGAAGAATCAATAGAAAATTGTGAGTCCTGGACAGTTGTTTCACCCTAGATTATGAAACTCCAGCAGTGCAGCAAACCTAAGACTTTGGGAGACTTCTAATTTAGCATGACCCATGGATTGATTGCCCTAGAATATGTGAGCTCCATGATTTCAGAGGATCTGATGTGGTTTCTGAAATGATACCCATCACTTCTGTACACTAGCTACCATTGACTTAGTCATAGTTAATGACTACCCGGATTATATATGTCGTGACCTCAGGCAGGATATAAGGGAAGTCATTAGGCTCTTGTTTTAATGATATAAACACTATGCCACTGGACTAGAATCAAATATTCTGTATCACACAACTGAACTCCATCAGCATCCAGTTTCTTCAAATCCAACTCGGGTGATTCGGGATACATTAGAGGCGTTTAGCACTGTTTTCCTTTACATAAATCTACAGATTACATGAATCCATGGTAACCCACATTCCATCTTTCCGAATTACAGAATGTTATCCATCATTTTTATTTTTCAGACGACATTAAAGGCGTCCGTACCAGGTGTTGGCATATCAGCAGAGATACAGCATTCCAGTCCATTGCGTTTGGAAAGCGTGAGCTTTGTACGGCCAAGCCTTCTTTATGGTTGAGCTAGGTATCAATTTCTACAGCCGAAAAATGATCAACAGATGTTTGAACGACAAACTGTCGCTTTGGGCCACCTCAATGTGTGTGTTTATAAATTCACCTGCTCGTGTGGAGCTAGTTATATTCGACGCGAAAAGCGTACGCTTTTCAAACGCATCTCTTAAAATTATCCGGTATGGTTAGCAAAAGGACAATGCAAGACAATTACTAGCTCACTTCTCGAGCATTTGGTGAACTCAGGCCACATAGCTCCACCAGAGTCACGATTTCGCGATATAGTGCAGCCACCAGCCAATGTTATCGGTGAATATCTGTCATGGTCATAACAGCCTCTCATTGGAACTTCAGACAATTTTATTCTGGAATGAGTCACCAGTAAGAACTAAACTGATTTTTAAGAATTAGTTCTCAAAGATTTGATTGGTTTCAATTTCGACTGTGAACTGACTCTAGTTAGAGAACTACTGAAGACCAGGAGTTACTAGACAGCTGTTTCACACACACGGTTTCTTCATCTTAGCTCTGTCTCACTTCTGTTCCTTCTTTCAAGTTGAGAAATAAGTCCCTGGACAGCGGGTAGCTGCTCCCACGGCTGCTCTGTTCTTAATTGAATCATAGGTAAAAACCTTACGCTTTCGCATAAGAGCCACTTGAGGACGCGCCAACCAACACGCTGTATATAATTTTGCTGGACAATCTTAGAGACATTTAACTGGCCATAGATCGCACCCCTTATTCAAGAAATGAGACTCACGACTGACCGGAGTCTAGCGAAGCCTTAAAAGCCACAGTCTCCGAGCGAACTAGTCTAGGTCATAATCCCTTCACAGGTTGTCTGGAGGTTTGAATCAAGCTGTCCATTATTCTTTTAACAAAGAGACTCATACTCTTACCAACATCCTTCCATCTTGAGTTTCACGATCAGGCTACCGATTGCAGTCAATACCCAAGTTATACTTCCCAAGATGCTAAAATACACCAAGGATACCACAATCCTATAAAGTGCATGAATAGTTTACCCTCACCCTGACAGAATGTTTCTAGGGACACCACAAGCAA